AAACAACATAACACCTATGAAACAACATAAAAAACAACAATATTTAGAATTGAAGCTATTGTCAGAATACACAATTTAATAAAAAAATATCAAAACAAAAGAGAATAAACAAAAGTACAATCAATTTTTCGTTAAAGTAAAATAAGCTCTCCTCTTCCACATACAACTAATAACATGAAACCCTATAATCAATGACTAATCCACAAACATAAATAATCAAAAAATAAGAACCAACCAGATGATAATAATATTAAAAGCTATCTAAACTCCATTCTCATATACCATTTTTATGGGCGCACCAATCTGCACTCAAAAACAAATAAAAATAAAACCCAAAAAAAATCAAACCAAATAAATGGGAGAAAAAAAACAATAAAATTTGTAATAATGAAGATATGCACCTTTTCTTATTTGAATGGCCGAATAGAAGCTTCTGAGGTCGCACACCTACGAGGTCGCCGCCATCTTCAAACGCCTCTGACTATGAGAAGCCTCGGGCTAAGGTTTTCTTCATTTGTGGGGAGTTCGGATCCCACCCTATTTGCTCCTCGAGCTTTTGTATTTGGGTGAATAGTTTCTCGAGGAGTTTTCGACGTTTCTTAGATCTTTTCATAGCAATAAAATTTTTTTGGGATGAATTTCTTGTTCTAACCATAAAAATAAAATGAAGATTGAAGAAGAAAAAAGAAACGATCGATAAATAAAGAAAATTGAAAAACACAATAAACAAATTAATAGAATTTGAAGAGAGGTGAGGTATTCCCCAAAAATTGTTAAGATAAATAAGATATAATCAAAAGATGTGCGGTTACAAAAATTAATAAAAAATAAAAAAGGTCATATTTTTTAAAACTCTAAAGCGTCCAAAAAAAGAGTATAATTGAAAACAGAAGGACTCATTTTGTCTAAATAATGAGGTAGAGTTGTTATGTAAACTGTCTCTAACAAAGGGATAAGGGGTGTCAATTATTCTCCCATGGGTGACCCTTAATCGGCCCGCCAAAAACCGAGGGCCGGACCCATAAACCGGCCCTGTCCTGGCACGGTCCCGGCCCCAAAAATAGAAAAACAGAACACGAAAACGACCCGTAAAACTACGGTGACGGTTCTCGGAAACAACAACCTACCATGCCGGGCCCTGGCCATGTCTATATTGACGTGACAATTTTTTATTAGAGTTTTATTTATTTATTTTTATTTTTATTTTTGAAGGAATGGTCCCGACTTTAGAATTTTTCATTACTATATATAGAATTTAAACAGTTAGAGAAAAGAATCTTTGCTTTAATTCTCA